AGAACTACCCGTTGTAGTAGGGTGACGCCAGAACTACCCGTTGTAGTAGGGTGACGCCAGAACTACCCGTTGTAGTAGGGTGACGCCAGAACTACCCTTTGGAGTAGGGTGACTCTCGAGCTACCCGTTGGAGTAGGGTGACGCTCGAACCACATGTAAGAGAGAGCAGGAGCTTGCATGCTATGTGATAAGGAGAATCCAAGACTGCACGTAGTTGGGTTCTCTTTAGTCTACAAGTGGTTGTAGAAGCCAGGACTGGATGTGTTTGGGTTCTGTTTAGTCTAATAGTGGTTGATAGAAGCCAGGACTGGATGTGGTCGAGTTCTGTTTAGTCTAATAGTGGTTGATAGAAGCCAGAACTGGATGTGTTTGGGTTCTGTTAAGTCTACAAGTGGTTGATAGAAGCCAGGACTGGATGTGTTTGGGTTCTGTTTAGTCTACAAGTGGTTGATAGAAGCCAGGACTGGATGTGGTCGAGTTCTGTTTAGTCTACAAGTGGTTGATAGAAGCCAGGACTAGACGTGGTCAGGTTCTCTTTAGTCTACCAGTGGTTGGTAGAAGTCACATGGCTGGTTGTAGAATAGAGCTAGGATAAAGAGGAAAGGTTTACAAATATATTCCTACATATCAATTAGATTTACCAAAGATATTTATTCCAATCCTTGTTATTGTAATCGTGTTTATACTGGTCAGACAAAATGATCAATTAGAGTAGAGGAACGTGTCGTTGGAAGGAAGTTGAATGATTGGCTTCAACATTAAATTTTCACACAATCAACCACAAAATTAATTTTGATCAATAAAATATTGTGCTGAACCAAAATTCTTCCACCAACACGACCCCAGAGAATAGATAGAAGTATTCAAAAACAAAAATTATGATTTATATGATGAAATGGGATTTTAACTTTTTTTTTCTTAAGTGTTTTTTTCTAATCAGCTTTTGTACTGTACTACTATCAGTGAACTTTGACCATCTCTACCACTTAATGTACAAGATGCTGAGAACAATGTCCATCCTTTGAGAGCAACAAGCTTAGCCTATCAAAAGTAGTTGAGTTTTTATGTTTTGATTATTTATGTTTTATTATGCTAACATGTCGCTACTATTTTTTTTCTAAACAAGATTATACTTGCCAACCACCACAAGGACATACTTCAATCCCGCAAGGATACCACAACGTTCCTACATCTGGATTACCCAAGTATGGAAGTACTGTTTGTGTTCATTCTATAAGTCAGCCTCAGATTCTGGTAATTGGAGGATGTCCAGCTTGCAGGGTAAGAATGTATCTATCTTTTCTGGAGAGGTAATAAATATGTTCTTAAAGATGTATGTGTTGATACAATTAAAATTAATTAATTAATTATCAAGTGGAGTAAGGAGGAAAAGATAAAACATCTTCTGATAAATTAATATCCAGATTATATTAATTATAATTTATTTTGATAAACTGTAATGCTTAAAATTCGTGGAATGCCAGTTTTATATTTGTAAACTAAATGATCTGTTTATAAATTAATGGAACGTATATATGGGAGGGAATATAACCGACTGTGGTTGAAAGATTCTTTGTCAACCAGAAAACATGTATGATCCGAACAAAAGCAAGATGGAAAGTAGTTTGTTTTTTATGTTGGAAAAGGAATTTCATTAGTATAAGTTTTATAAATGTTTAATTTGCTAGCAGCATAAGTTGGTTATGATCGGGCAACCACTGTCTCAAGAAAATGGATCTTTTGGTTCTCGGGACCTGATGGGTTTACCGTTGAATTGTTTTTAAAGTTCTCGGGACCTGATGGGTTTACCGTTGAATTTTTAAAAAGTTCTCAGGACCTGATGGGTTTACCGTGGAATTTTTTAAGTTCTCGGGACCTGATGGGTTTACCGTGGAATTTTTTAAGTTCTCGGGACCTGATGGGTTTACCGTTTAATTTTTTTAAAGTTCTCGGTACCTTATGGGTTTACCGTTTAATTTTTTCTATTTGTTTTCAAAACACCTTGGGTTATTTAGTAATCAAATCAGTGAACAAAGAGGAAAGTTATTAACAACTTATTTAAGTCTATTAATGCACAATAAAATTGATCACACACAAGGCATTCTACATCTGATTTTACTTCCTTTTATTTTGTTTAAGTAACAGCTGTTGGTTGCAGGATGAGAAGGTGTGACTAGTGTTTTACCTCAATCTAGTGAATACTGTTAATTTACTGGAATATAAATTAAATTTGTACTTTATAGTGTTGATTTCAACATTCTGGGTCTACTTTTAACAGTTGATTCATAAGAAGAGCTTTGATAAACTGTTCAGGATTTATGTGATTGGATAAATATGTATCATACAAGTTCCATAGTGTCTATTTGCAATCAACTGCTGGAATAAAATAATGAAGCCAGTTTATCAGGTATTAAAAGTTATCACAAACTAGAATAAAAGAAGTGTAGCTTGCTTTGGTAAAATTACTGAGTCTCAAATAACTTCCAAACTAAGCTGTTTATTTCTGGTGTTTCTTAGTCTGATTAGATGAACCATTGTGAAAAAGTTCTGTAATCTAGACTTCGATGGAGGGAGTTTAATAATACTATGTTTGGGGTTTTATATAAAAGCTTTAAAAATAATGTTGGTTAGAAAATTAGTTAGTAATTAATTGTGCATTTTTAGTTTGTGTGAATGAACTTTTAAGTAATGTTTATCATAATTCTTTAATAAGTTTGGTTACATAGAGCTTTTGTTGGGTAAAAAAAAAAAAGATTTTTGAAGTATATTTTAACTTCTTTTGCAAAATATCTGGAAATTAAGAGCCCAAAAGTCACCGACCTTTATTTGATGCAACCAGTTCATTTTAACAGTAACAACTACTATTCTATAAAAATTGGTATTAAGTTAATTGGAGGCTTTTTATTAACCATGGCATAGTGGTTCATAGAATGTTTCTGAGTTTGTGTTTTTCAAATACAAACTTTTAGCTCGTAACTCCATCATCTCTGGACCGCTTTTGAGATCTAATTGCAGTTTCGGACTCGCGAGGTCAAACCCTTTCGATTTATGTATTTGACCATGTCCAAGGTTTCAGATTAATTTACTCTAATCAGGTATATGCATACCCCAAGCTTGGTATTGCTGGTGCACAAAAATGTAGCTAATAAAAAGATAAAAAAGGTCTCCTAGGTTAATTTACTCTAATCCTGCTTAAAAGAATTTCAAGTGCCATAGCTGTTGAGGATTTCCTCTTATGGTGCAATAATTCAATAGTTTTTTACTGCTCTGAAAATAATTTGTTAGTACTTTAATTTTATCACTTACCTAAAAGCACATGTAAAACTGAAACTAAACTTTTAATATTGATGATCATTATTGTAAAATGTTGTGTAAGTGAAAGTTCTAAATTACATTGGATTCAATATAATTCTGAGAACTTAAGAATGAAAGCAAAGACGAATGTTTAACAATATTTCAGTCATGTTATAATAACTTCTACATCCAGGGCAGATGTTGCCTGATACCAGAGCTCGTTAGGCTGACTTGGATATGAAAGACACAATAGTGGTTGAGATGCTATTTATTCAAATTGTATGAATATTAGGTGTCAATAATTGTTATGATTTGAACTAGATTAAACTGGTGAAGTGTAATTTTATGAGTTATTTACGAACCACAATAAGAGTAAGGATTAATAACACAACTAGATTAATTGGTGAAGTGTAAGTTTATACGAGTTATTTACGAACCACAATAAGAGTAAGGATTAATAACACAACTAGATTAATT